ATTAAATAATTAATGAGAATATCCCAATTCGAGAAAAAATTATTTTGAAGAAGGGGGTTGATGCGAGAAAAGAATGGGGTGCAACTCACACTAAGATCTTATGATAAAGATGATTATAACCAAATGGTCAAAAAAGTCATTCCAATCATAAACTCTCAAGTATTTCCCATGAGAGAGTCATTACTCTTGTTGGGAGAGTCGTAACTTGATACTCATCTCTTTTAAGACACAAGAGTCATATAGATAATAAAAGTTCTAAAGATTTTTTATACATAATCATTCATTCTTCCGCAATCAAACATAACTCTCCTCATGAATAGCTTTCAACTTCAAGTAAATCTCATAAGAATTCAAAAATACTTATCCTACAAATTAAGACGAGATTCTAAGAGATTTACTTCATCAAAACTTATATTCTTTATCAATTTAGAGTTCTTGTCACAACAAGAGAAGAAAAATCCTTTCAAATTAATTGGTTAACTGTTACAAATTATCACTTTTTAATTTTATATTTAAAAATTTTAACTAACTAATTATTATATATATTATTACTTTAACTGAAAATTTAAATATATTATCATTTTTTTTATTTTTAAAAATTATAAGGAAATATCAAATTCAATTTCATCTGAAGATAAATCAGGCTTATAGTCCTTGAGGACGAGCAGGGATCCTTTCAAATTCCATACTTCACGACTGCAGACTCTTTTCTTATCTTCCTCTTGATATATATATATATATATATATAGGTAAACACTACGGACATCTCTTTTATTATATATGGTGTTCTTCCCTTGTTAATAGATATGGATAAGCTCTGTACAGTATAGGACAGGTAAGCTGCGTAAAACCTATGAACAGCCACCATTAATCAAAGTCAAAGCCATACTTTACAAATTAAAATTCATGAAATAATTTCCCACATCTCCACCGAGCCGCCTCATATGCTATATAAATACCCTACAACCTCAGGAACTCATCCTCACTTGTTCTATTGAATTTTACATATAAGATAAACAAAAACAATTTAGAGAAGAAAGGAATGGCGTCTGAATGCCTAGGTAAGTACGGATCAACTCTTCTTTTCATAAATAAAGGTAATTAATTAGTGCACAATTATAAGAAATTATATACATATATATATATGTATGGGTGTTGCAGGTAAAAACTCATGGCCGGAACTTGTTGGGAAAAATGGAGATGAGGCAGTGGAAACCATAAAAAGAGAAAATCCAAATGTCTTGGAAGCCATCGTGTTGTTGGAAGGAACTTCAGTGATCAAGAATTTTAGCTGCAACAGGGTTTGGGTTTAGGTAAACGATTGCAAGATTGTTACTCTAGTTCCTACTATAGGCTAACATTGCCCACGTAATTTCATATAATAAATGTAATAATACATGGGCTAGTTTCTTGACCGATCTAGCTTCCATTGTAACCAAATAAATAAATAAGTAGTTTTTATTTAATTTTCAATAATTAGTAAATTCTCTTAGGTTATTTTTCTTTAGATATTTATTTGAATAATTGGAAATAAATAAATGTGACTGATATTTTATGTGATTTAATAGTTTATTATATATTAATATTATATCCTATTTTCTAATTATATACAATTTGGATTTTAATTTGATTTAAAAATTTTATTTAATTTCAATGCAAATCAAATTTTGGAGGGTAATTAAAAACTAAACTAAATTAAACCATTTCGGTTTAGTTTTTCAATTGGGTTAAATTTTTTAGTTTGGACAAAATAACTTGTAATACCCAAATTAATTTTTTGTAATTTAAATTAATTTGTAAATGTAGTTTTTTTAATTTTTTATTTTAATTTAGTATAAAAATGAAAAAAATTTGAAAGAGAATGAAATTGAAAATAATTTTGAAGAAAAAACATGTGAAATTTTTTATTTTGAGGGTATTTTTGAAAGAAAAATCGAAAACTATGGGTCAAAATGTAATTTAAAAAAGTTATACCACATAAGATGCCCGGTTAGTAGCTCTTACGAACCAGAACGCGCCACGTGGCAATGGACACTGACACGGTGCCACACAGGAGGCCACGCGGGCGATCTGCGTGCCCGCGATCGAACCGTCCATATTCGCTCCCGCGTGCACAGACGACCTGGATGTGTTCTCTCCCTAAACGTGCTTGGACGGTCAGATTTAAATACGATCAACGATCCAGATCTACTTCTTATTTAAACGCGATTGGATGATTCATATCAGATAGCGATGAACGGTCTAGATTCACTCCCTATTTAATTGCGATCAGACATTTCAGATCAATCGCGATGGAGGGCTCATATTAAAAGGGGACGAATATAAATAATTCTCTTCACACCAAATCTTAAGCCTAGCCGTCAGACACCCTCATCGGAGAAAAAGACCCAACTGCTGGGAAGGAGAACCACCACCACCCACCGCCGCACTGGAGCCACTTCCGATCGCCAAAAGAAGTAACAAAATTTCTTTTTGCTCAGAATTCAATTTTAAACACCCCCATGGCCATATCGGAGTAAAATGATCGGCCAATTGGCCGAAAACTACGGGCAAAGCTCGGCAGTGCTGCTGCAAAAAATTTCAAAAACCACCTCCGATAAGTCCCTTCCCGATTTCCGTTATGCAAAATTTTTTCACCGTTTCCTTCTCTACAGGTTGACCAAAGTAAAACACTCAACCGTAAAAGCGAGCTAGCGGAGCCGCCGCACCGAAGAGCCCTGCTG